CACTAGTCATTTTTACATTACAATCGTCTCCGATCGACATTATAGATCTTTTGTTTTAATTGTTATTCACTCACAATTTTTATTCGTAATTTTGTAATTTTACTACATTGTAATTCCTGCTCTGTAACCATGTACTCTTATCCCATGAAGACTCTCCACATTCTTGAACAAGCGATGCTTGCCTCACCACATCATGCGAATTGTTCAATTCCACCACCTCCTCTCTAATTTGGGGGAAATGCTGCACAGAGCATGCTGGCTCTGGTCAGGTACGACATTGCCCTTACCATGACATGAGTCAAATATATCTAGGTCTCCTGTCATGGGGTCAGCCGCTACGACGCCTGATGCAGAGCCACTGTGTCGGCAGGTGTCAGTCGGGTAGCATGCGTCGCCAGCTCATAATGACACTCAGTGGTTTTGAGGATCACTATGAGGTGACACGTGACGACGCCTAGTGTGACATTCACTTCCTCCACTTCAAACGGCAATCCTGTCTCATGTGTCGTTTCTTAGCATTAAGACATGGAATGTGGCATTTATGTCTTGATTCTAAAATTTGTTTTTCACATAACATTGTGTATTGACAGGTTTAAGGATGGTTTCAACACCCTTGGTGTTCTAGATTGTGTTCGTAAAAACCCTAATTCATTTAAAGAAGTGTTGATGTACCACAATATCAAACACACTGCTGAAAGCATAGCAATTTTGTTCTCAGTGAAAGTGAGTGAAGAAGGAACCAACAAACGAAATCAAGAAAATGAAGTCTTAAGCTATTGGAGAGATTATTTGGTTGACGCAGAAGGTAAACAGAATTATCATATAATAAAAGTATCATTTAGTTTATCATATATTCTCTATAAAAGCAGTAAAAAAACTTGTTCAATATTCACTGTAAACAATGTTAAATTTCACTTCAAATGTTCATTATTTGAAAACAAATAAAAAAATTTTTTATTTAAAAGCAAATCATGTTGCTTTCCCATTAAAATCCAAGCCATAAGATCGTAGAACAATATCGGCAAATCTCTTCCGTGCTGGGTTCAATAACATTAACATATTTAAATGAGCTATGGTAATTTGAACACGTTGGCATTATCCAATGTTTTGATTGGTTAATTAGTGATTTGACCTGTCAGGTCAAAGAACACCGTCCCAGGTCAAAACATGGCGGATATTAATTTCTACAGCATCAAACGTTTAAATTTCGACCGTAATCTTTTGCTTAGGTCAGACTTTTATTATCCCTTGTTTCGCGAACTCACCGAATGAACAGGAGCCTAAAATGAAATAAAAATTAAATTTTATTTCTGCGTAATTTCTCACGCCCGCCGACATGTGAGTGCAAAAAATTGCTAAAAAAAATTATTTTTATCTTAATTTTTTAGGCCTGCCGCCTAACAAATCCAAGTTGCATTTTCATGGGAGTATCATGATCAAAGTACCGAAGTCTCGCGGAGATCTATACTTTATGCGCGTTGGTTGACAGTGACCTCTCTGCGTACTGCCTGCTTGAGACTACTAGGTGAACATGGCGGCGGCGTGGTGACACGCTTTGAAACTCTGTCGCCGAAAACCAAGAAATCCCTCATTAATGCTGAAAATTGTGCCACCATTGGCGACATTGCCAACCACGTTATACATGGAATAAAATTTTATTTCATTTCTTCTCTCCGATCAATGATCTCACTTACAATTCTTTGAGAATCACACAAATCTAATGGAAAAAAAGAGTTAATTTTATTTTTTTTCGCCCTCCTCAAAAAAATTGACTTATAAAAACTCGAGAAACAAGGAATAAAAAAAGTCTGGCCTTACGATGAAATAAGTTGAAATTTATTTGCATTTCATAACAATTCAACGAATTTTTTGCACGTTATTATAATCATTACTAGGTAATAATCAACAATTGTGAAACGCAGCATAACCGGATTGCACTACCGCGATCATTTGCTACTAAGGAATGCAGATGTGTTCGTTTTTATTTGAAACTCCTTTTAAAATATACTTTCATTACTAATAAATAATCGTATTTGGCGCACAAAGTTTGTTAATTTGATTTTTTTGGAGAAAGATGTTCTGATTGACATTGTAATGAAATTTTAGGCGGTCTATTTTTTAATCCAGCAAAAAAAAAAATGTATACAGTTTTAAATTAGCTTCTGCAATAGTTTTTTTTTTGTTTTGGGTGGTCCACTTTCATGACAGCAGACAATGGCAGTAGTGTATTCTGAATTGGCATAATTGAACGCACTACACGCACTGACTCCACTGGCATTCGTTTGCACTCTAGCCACATGCAGTTATACTGTAACTAAATCTTCAGAAAATAGTATTGCTTGTAGTAGCCATCCACTTTGGAGAGATGCGATCAACTTTGAAAATCAAAGGTTGGGATGCTGCAAAGGGTCTGTATTGCCACTCTTACGGGCTAATTGTTCACCACTGTCCAAATATATACAACAGTTAGGTGTTTGCAAAGTTCTAATATCAGTACAGTAACGTTCTTAGTGTCAGTAATCCTGACCATTACGCCCTGCCACCATGTCTCATTTCATCGAAACAGCTGACTGTGGCGGGCAGTGCAAAAGCAGCGTTTGATATTCAAATGAGCAAACGCAACTTAAGATCTCTCTGTTGTGTTTTATTTTTGTTTTGGCCACATGAAAGGTATATGCTAATAAGGTTATTCACAAAATACCATATTTTACATTTTGTATGCTACGGTATTGTCCTTGGTGCTTCACGTCTTGAACAATACAGTCATGAATATTGTTTGGCTCAATTTCAATGGAATCAATTTGTTGCTTCATTTCTGTACAGCATGTTCAATTTAAATTAGTTCATGTGCTTGTATGCTACTTATTTTTCCTTCAATTATGTTTAAGATTCTTCTTTCTTTTTTTCAGAATCATCATCAGAAGCATCACTTACAGATATATTAATATTTGCAACTGGAGCTGATAAAGTTCCTCCTTTGGGATTCTTCCCCAAACTTAGTGTAAAGTTCATTCATAATGGGGATATAGGAAAGCAAAAGTTGCCATTGGGAAACACGTGTGCAAATCTCCTTTATATTCCAGTTGTTAATAGTTATGAACTATTTAAATCATCCATGGACTTTGGAATCCTTAACAGTCCTGGTTTTGGACAGGTCTAGGTGTTCGGTGGTACATCAGGTTACATCACAATTTATACCCCAACTTACTCAACAGACTAAATTAATTTTGCTCTTATGCTCGTAAATGACCTACAATATTAACACAGTGTATCTCAGTTCATCAACTTACTGGCGTATTGTTTAACTCACTCACATTTTTAATTAATTTTAAACATTTCTATTTTTTTCATTTGATATTTATATCCAATTTTGATATGTAGTTTATTCTCTTTTATTTTTATGAGCAAGTATTAGGCTACAATTTAAATTTGTACGCATCATGGTGTGCGTTATTTAGGTAGTTCACAGAAAAAAAACTGTGAATTGCAGCTAGTTTCCTTATTAAGATAAGAATGGTTGATAAGATAGGAATGCATAAGAAATAGTTTTACATACACCCAAATAGTTTCTTACAACGGTTCTAGGAACTATTCTGACAGTTAGCAAGGTTGCTTAAAACTTTGCAAAACACCGTTTTTTCATTGAGGTTAGATTGTTCCATACCCTCGTTCAGATGAAGGTAATATGATACACGTTCGAGTACATGAATAG